TAAAGGTGTGTTTGGAAAGTACTTCTACGAATTTTTTGTCATAACTACTTTTACAAATTATTTCTCATAAGTATTTTAAAAAAAATATTGTTTCAAACTGCCCGCACCACTATCTCTATTACTACCACCCCCACCACCACCGCTACCACTACCACTGCTGTCACCGCCTCCACCACCATCAGCACCGTCACCGCCACCACCACTGCCACCACCACCGCCACCGCAGCCACCCCTACCAACACCATCACAACCAACACTACTGTCGCTAGCCCCACCACCATCACTGTTGCTGGCACCGCTGCCGCTGCCACCAGCATCATCGTCACAGCCGTCACCCCCCACCACCGTCTCTGCCACTACCACCATCGTCGCCACCACCACCATTGCCGCCACCGTTGTTGCAGCCGCCATTGCCACCACCACTGCCATCATGGTCATTATCACCCCACCACAACCATCACCGTCTCCTACTACCACAATTACCTTCCACCACCTCTCACCCCCACTACAATCGATGTTTAAATTTATTTATCTCTCATCTATATTTGTGATTTGATTTTGGATATGAATACAAATATAATTATTGTTTATCATTTTTTATTACTCTGTGTCTTCAGGTACAGACAATAACTAGTCTTGTATATTATACCTAACGCCACCATTTCTCTTCCCTGTTCCCTCTTCCCTCCACCCATTCTCTTCCCTTAGTAAATCTTCATTTTTGAAGAGGGACTTTTTGTTTAATTGATGTCGTGTCTCCGTTCCATTCTGATATCCAAAACTAAAGGGAACGGTAATGGGTAGACGTAACACACAGACTCTACTAATATCGAGAATCACATACCAGCTCTGTAGTTCCTCTCTTTCGAGATTCGAAATAGGATGCCATCAGATTTTTCTAATAGTGTGTTTGGTGAGTGGATGAAAAGTAATAGTGATGTATTTTTTATCCATCAATGAATAAATTATTTATTTCCGCTTTTGTGTTTGATAAGAGGGATAGAACGTATGAAAACAATAATTTTTTTTGTGTTTTGGTATGAATGAAAAAGTGAAAGGAAAAAAGATATACATATTGATTCATATTTTATCATTATATCTACATATAAAATTAATATTTACATATAGAGAGCCTCGGGGGGAGAGCCCGCTCTAATTCTAGATAGAGAAAAGGTCTCCTAAGGCTTTCATGGTGAATATCCTTCCCCTCCCTCGATATGCACATTTTCAGGACATGGTTTCAAATAGCTGCTGCTGCTGCCATTGCTTGTGGAGCACACGGATAAGGGGCGGAGCCAAGAATCAGAATGAGGGGACAAAATATACCTGCAAATAATGCACTAGTTGATAGTGAAAAAATTTTAAGTACAAAAAAGGCAAAATAGACTAAGATTCGAGACAAAATTATTAAAATAGTAAAATTAATCTTTATTTTTCTTAAACAAAATATGAACAAAAAGACAAAAAATAACTTTTTATTATTTTGTTTTAATTATATGTTACAATGAAATACAATGTTCTTTAAAATCTTTAATATTTTTTATATTTGTTTAATTATAAGAGTTAGAATTCTCACTAATTTTCTACTACTGCGCACAGTCATAGAACCCCCTAGTAAAATCATTTTTTAATGATTACGAAACCTAGTTGAGATTATTCTCGAGCTTATTGAGAATTTTTATATTTAAAATAGTATGAAATATTTTTTGGGTTATAACATGTAACTTTTTGCATCCAGTCATATTTTATTGACTATAGATTACAAACAAACCGAAGAATAACATATTACAACTGTACAATTGTTTGTAAGAAAATAAAAAGCATTGTATTAGATAGATTCTCTTTTTTTCAATATATATAAATAGATCACAATATTTACATCTAATTTGCTCACTCCAAAAGAAAAAAATTAATTTAGGGGGGGAAGGGGCAATAGACCACTAATTTATTGGGGAAAAAAAAAGATTAGTACTTTAATAAAAAAAATTCATAAATTTTGGGGGGACAAACGTAGTATAACATTATGGAACATAATCAAAGGTGATCTAAAAAATTTTTTTTGGGGGAAGAGGGGTGGGGGGTTTCAAGTGCCCACCCTAGTCCTTAGGTGGCTCCGCCCCTGTCACGGATGCAGGGCTAGGAGAAAGTGCACCCGCAGATTGCTTGAGTTGGTGATGTCCTGAGGTGTTTGAGAGTGAACTAGATTGAAAATGGTGTGCTTGTTTCTGGTCATACTCAGTCCTTGCTCTCTAGTAATAACTACACCAGTTTGACACCGGTGGATGGTGGATGGGGACACAGTCACTGTGCCTTGTATGTGTGTTGGAATGAATGAAGATGGATATGTACGACTGTTTTGTGATTTGGATTACTATTCTGGGTTATTCTTGCGGGTGGGATTTTGGGTTCAGGGGAACTGACAGAAGCCTGTTCTAGTGGAGGGGGGTGAGATACATGATTGAGATTTTTCAAGTTTTGTGTTTTGGACATAGAATAGGAGTAGGAGGAGGCGGAGAATGAGAGAGTGTTCTTGCAAAGAATCGGATAGGATTTGTAATAAATAAAAAGAGTAATCTTACTTTAATCAAATTTTGGGATTAAATTTTGAGCATAAAAGACATGACAGTTGATTATGTGATATTTTTATTGGGCCCAAATGACATGACACCAATCAAAGAAATCCAAGTCAACTGTTATATCATTTGGATTCCAAATTTGATTCCAAAATGTAGTCAGTCTAGCATTACTAAAATAAAAAATAATTTTCTCTTTCGACGCATTAATTGCTTATGCATATTAATTAAAAACAAATTGTATAGGAATTGAGTATTAAAATAATTAATTATAGATGACTCTGTGTTAATATATGGCCCAAATTGATACTTACACATAATTAAGGGTGTCTGTGGGTTGAGTTGGTCTATGGGATCCGTTACTTGACCTAAAAAAATAAAGCCGAAACTCGATAATTGACTTTTCTGAACCTGAGTCTAATATCCTTCAAGAGAAGGCTTGGACCTACCTCCAAGCCCATTACCCAGCCCGAGAACTCGCCCGCCTATCCAGCTGCCCATACACCTACTTTGGTTGAAAAAAATTGACTAATGAAAATTAAGTGGCATATTCCTTTCAAAAAAAAGTTATTTACTTAAACACTAAGTTGAGTAATCTAGTGTATTTATTCATTATTTATTTTTTTCTATTTTGACTCTATTTTTAATTCAAAAATATTAAGTTGGAAACTTTTTATGAAGATGTATATATTAAAAAAAAAAAAGCTCGTCCAGTGAATGACAGGTTGGGTTGTGGATAACTTATCCCTACCTAAATCTCAACCCAACCAATAAATCACCCGGGTAAAAGTTTTAACCTACCCTATTCAAGGCCAACCCAAAAAAAAATTTACGGCCCTAACCCCGTCCAACCCATGGAACCGTTACGATATATGTAGGTACATTTTTTTAAACTTATTTTGAGAGAAAGTGTACGGATAAATTGTTTATTTTATTAAATTCAATTTTAATAAAATATCTTATGATTAGGTACAAAATTCAAATAACCTTTTATTTATTTTACTTACTTACCCTTCCTTAAATTATACATGATTGATTGACGATTATGCATCTAATCAAATATATAAAATTTTTATTAACTATTTATCATTCTTTTGAATTTTTAATTGTATTTTATATTCAGTCTTTGCATTCAACCACTTCCTTCATTGACCAGCCATCAGCGTTCGACTTTTTGGCAATTTCCTTCAACATCCGACCTGACGATTTCACTTCTTTGGTTTGCCGCATCTTCTTGTTTTATTTTTGTTTATTTTCAAAGTCTATTTTTTAATCAATTGAGGATTTCTCCGAAAGGAAAATTAAAAATTCTAATCACCATCACCATCACCGCCGCTAAAGGTTAGTTTTTACATTAAACAGTTACTAAAGAGTTAAACTAAATAGTTATCAAAGAGTTATACCAAACAATAAACCATTTACAAACAAAGAGTTACACAAATAAAGTTACCAAAGAGTTACAACAAATATGTACAAAAGATTTATACCAAACAATTAACCATCTACAAATAAACAATTACATTTGTGTCACTGTTTAATAATCAAATTTAAAGATTTTTCTATTTCACATACAAGCATTCATAAAAAAGATTTCATATTTTATTATTTTCATTTCACAAGACATGGGTTTAGATTTTATCAAAGAAAAAAATTGAACTTAAAAAAAATAAGGAAACTCGTACTGTTAGGTAATTCAAATGCCGATTGTAACACCAAACAATTACAGATATATGAATTAAATGTCTTGAATCTCAAATAGAGTTACTCCATCATGTTAAAACAAACAAAAAATTAGTGTAACTACTTAAAATTTGTGTTTTTTAAAATTTAAATTTTTTATACATTCATTCAACATAGAAGAATTCAACTTTGTTATTTTCATTTGGAATGTTACTGTTTTTTAATTTTAGTTTGGGTTCTTCCCAACAAAAATTGTAACAAAAAAAATTTGAAAACTGACCATTACAAAGAACAGTTACACCAAACCAAAATGCCGTAGTTACACAAACAATTACCAAAACATAGGATATTTAGTTCGTCCTCATTTATTTTTTTTAAAAAAAAAAACCTTTTAATCTTCAATAAGGTTTGAAAAGATTATCTTCCGGTAATATCTTCAGAATCAGTTCATGATTCCATTCAAATATCAAAAATGTCGATTTTCAGAATCTGTTAATTTTTTATTCGCGTGCAGCTTATTTGGTCTCAACTGCGAAGTAAGACAAACTTTAATTTTTGATCCTACAAAATTTTTTTCTCACATTAATTGGTTAATTTTTTATTCATATACCCCATTATAACGACATTTTTGATATCCAGAAAAATATCTTCAGAATCTGTTAATTTTGTCTGAGAACCTCGGGGGGTCCATCCTAGAATTTCGGTCTTTGTTCTTATCTGTACTATGTTACCCAACTTTTAAAGCCAAAACCCGTTGGGAGTGCTTGGTACTCAAAAGTCAAAGTTTCGACGCCTCCACTCCAGCATGTTAAGAGCTGCTAGACAAACAAATCTCAAATACCCAGATCTCAAAGCAGTGCAAAGTTGCAAACCTCTCTGCAACAATGGCACAGTCCCTTTTTCTGTCCACAAATCTGAGCCCAAGCAGATACATCCAAGGTAAATAAAGCTTCATTACCTTGATTCTCTTTCTATGGTTATACTATACAGTAATTCTTGAATTTCTCTTGAAGGGTTGGTCATTTATATGTATTCTCTTACTCTATTTTCTGGGTTTTTTTTAATATTTGATTATCATGAAGTCACTCATAACGTAGTTTATTATTTACTCACAAAGAAAACTGTGGTTTAATTACTTTTCCCTGTTGTGGTCGTTGATAGAACTTTGCGGGCTTGGCTGCAAGTGAATGCTTGAAGTTTTGCTGAGTTGTAGGGAAATCTGATACTGATTAGGGTTTATGGTGGTTCAGGGGAAAACATAATGTGGAGATAAATTCGCCATAAAATTTTTGTCACTTGTAAAAAAGGAGCTAAACTACAGTATTTTTGCACGAATTTTTTGGTGTTTTGAACATTGAAATAATTGGTGATTATTATTAGATGCTTGAATGTGATTTCAACCTTGATTGCTTTCTATGACTTTAAAAGTATTTATTCTAGGAATACAACTCTAATTATCTATAGCAATTACTCGTACCCTTCCTGTCCGTGTCCAAGTGTTGAGGGTCCATGGTTGAGAGCCTGGTATTACAATAAAAAAGGGGTAGTGTTGTAAGGTAATATAGGAGCAATGAAGTTGGACATGGAACATTATGACAGGTCATCGCTCATATCTGGTACATGATTTTAGTATTCTTGACTTTGAAAATTTACATATATATTGAAACCCCTAAGCAGAAAGTTGAGAGCAGTAAAACTTTCTATAAGATTGAGTCACCTTTTCCGGTAATAGTTTTGACACAATGTCATTGCATGGGAAGCAGTATGCACTTTGTTTGAAGAAGTTGAAAACTTCCTATTTTAAGTTAATTTTCAATGCAGTGGCAACTTTCAATTCATTAACTTAACCAAAAAAAAAAAACTTTCAATTCATTAACTTTCAAACTGATACCCACATAGACATTTAGTAATGAACTGCTCAGTTTGTGAGTAATTTGTTTTTGTAGCGTATTATCGTTTTCCCTTATATGTTGCACCACTGTTGCTTTGGTGTAATTCTCGTTGAACTCTCTTGTTCTTTCAGGAGAGGAGCAATGGCTTGGGTGTTTTGCATTGAAAACAAAACCAAGTCATTTGAAGCTTTCATCTGGCTGTAGAATAAGAGCAAACGCCGTTTGCAATGCTGGTTTTAAACCTGTGGAAATTCCTCGTCAGTGGTACAATCTTATTGCAGATCTTTCAGTTAAACCTCCTCCCTCATTGCATCCAAAGACTTTTGAACCAGTCAAACCTGAGGATTTGTCTCCTCTATTTCCCGACGAGTTGATTAAGCAGGAGGCAAGCACTGACCAGTTCATTGACATCCCAGAAGAGGTCCTCAATGTTTACAGCCTTTGGCGGCCAACCCCGTTGATCCGGTTGGTTCTGCTTCTCCATAGTCGTTGCTTTTTTTTATTAACCTTAATTTGCGTACATGGTAAGAAAAATCTTATAGTTTCAATATTATTCAGTGCCAAAAGGTTGGAAAAACTGCTTGACACACCTGCAAGAATTTATTACAAGTATGAAGGTGTAAGCCCGGCTGGGTCACACAAACCCAACACTGCAGTCCCTCAGATTTGGTATAATGCACAGCAAGGTGTCAAGAATGTTGTCACAGAAACTGGTGCTGGCCAATGGGGTTGTTCACTGGCTTTCGCGTGCAGCTTATTTGGTCTCAACTGCGAAGTAAGACAAACTTTAATTTTTGATCCTACAAACCTGAATATCGACATTCATTCAATGAAGTATGTTGGGGTATATTGGTTTTAGTGGCCCAATTGGCCTGACTTAATTTGGATGATGTCATGCGACACAATACTATAATTTTGTATTTTAGTTGACAAGTATTTCTTCCAAAACTATACATGAGATCCATGTAAGATATTACTGAAAAATCAAGTAAAAGAGTTGCTGCTAGATGCTTGACCTGCTGAATTAACACTTACATTGAGCTATATAATATGGTGATTAATGGCTGCAACGATTAGGAACTGGTAGAGCAGAGGATTGAAAATCCTTGTGTCACCAGTTTAAACTCATTTCATTAACTTCTTTTGCTTAACCTGAAAAATAGGATATTTTAATGAGAAATCTCAGTCAATTAAGTTAGATATGGTAGATTAAAATGGTGCACCTCAATTGAAATAGAAATAGAAGTGATGTGGGATTATTCAAGAATCAAAGTCGATTTGCGTTATAAAAGGAAGATATCAATGAACTTCCTTCAAGTCGCATGTTGCTTGCTACCATTGTTTCAAATGAAGTTTTACCATAACGGATTCCTCTAATTTGGAGCCAGTCTTAATGCATAGGTGTGGCAAGTCCGTGCTTCTTACGATCAGAAGCCATATCGTAAATTGATGATGCAAACTTGGGGTGCCAAGGTGCACCCTTCACCTTCTACTCTTACTGAAGCTGGTCGAAAAATCCTTCTATTGGATCCATCAAGCCCAGGCAGTTTAGGAATAGCTATTTCGGAGGCTGTGGAAGTGGCAGCTACAGATGCTGATACCAAGTATTGTCTAGGAAGTGTTCTCAACCATGTTTTATTGCATCAGACTGTTATAGGTGAGGAGTGTATAAAGCAGATGGAGGCCATTGGGGAGACTCCGGATATAATCATAGGCTGTACAGGAGGTGGATCCAACTTTGCAGGACTTTCGTTTCCATTTATTCGAGAGAAGCTGAATGGGAAAATCAACCCTCTTATCAGAGCTGTTGAACCAACAGCATGCCCTTCATTGACAAAAGGTGTTTATGCTTATGATTATGGTGATACAGCTGGTATGACCCCTTTGATGAAGATGCATACACTTGGGCACGACTTCATTCCCGACCCTATTCATGCTGGTAAGCGTTCATGGTTTATTTCCCATTTGGCTTTGTGCTGTTTCTTCTTCTTCTACCTCTTTCTTAAGCATGCAATCTACAGGGGGTTTGCGGTACCATGGTATGGCGCCATTGATTTCTCATGTCTATGAATTGGGGTACATGGAAGCAATTGCAATTCCTCAGACTGAATGCTTTCAAGGTACCTTCCTTCCCCACCCTGAAATGAGTATCTATTGTCTACATGGGCAGACATATCTTCACCCTCGCAATCTAGAATCAGAACTATGTTGTTAAAATCGGTCACCATTTAAGAAATTCGTAGTAATGAAGGCCACTAATGTTTTATATTGTTGTTGATGCAGGTGCAATACAATTTGCTAGGTCGGAGGGAATAATACCAGCCCCAGAACCAACTCATGCCATAGCTGCCACCATCAAGGAAGCTCTTCACTGCAGAGAGACCGGTGAATCGAAAGTTATTCTCATGGCAATGTGTGGACATGGCCATTTTGACCTGCCAGCTTATGATAAGTATTTACAGGGAGCTATGGTTGATTTGTCATTTGCAGAGGAGAAAGTAAAAGCATCACTGGCCCGTATTCCTCAATTGGTATCCCGAGGTGAAGCCAATGTATAGCAAGATGATCTTGCAATGGAGGATAGATTCGTACTCCATAAGGAAGGATATTGTTGTCATTTTATGATTTCTGTTAAGGATAATTAGAGGGGTCTCACTGACAGGGGAAGTAGTGTTATTTCCTATGGATGAGGGTGTCTCGTTGTTATTTGGACAAACCTTAGGGGAAGTGGATGGAATTTACCCATGTATTACTAGGATGTCAGTAATGTTGCTGGTGATCTACATTGTAACCTTGATGTTAGGCTTTGAACTGGGGGAACATTTAACTCCAGAAATCATTTCAAATCATTGATTATGTGTAAGAGAAATGGTATAGAGACCTAATTTAATACAATTGGATTAGTCATAAGTTTCAGTGTTAAATCAATAATAATCGGCAAAATGCCATAACAGACTTTAGTATAATTCAAAAAAGGATAAAAAAAGGAAGGGAAGGTTTGGTGAGTAAAAATCATCGAAAAATAAAAGTGTGTTTAATTACTCTTTTTATCAAAATAAACTATATGTATATTATTGTATAAGAAAAAAGTAGGAAAGTAGAATTACAAAACAAACTCCAGTTTAAAAAATAAAAATAAAATGCACTTAAAAACAATTTATGGCAATAATTTTGTGTCTAAAGACACTTTATAATTACCAAAATTACACATTAATTGTACACCATTTAAAAATTATTTTTCATTTGTTTCTTAATCACATAAATTAAAATTAAATAAACAAAAATAAAATAAGAAGAGATAGGGGGAGAAAGGAGAGGCGAATTGGTGGGGTTGTCAAGCATTGAGGGTCGTGCAATAAAAATAAAATTTTTGAGTGAAAAAACAAATTTGGAGATAAATTTTATATCATTAAATTAAAATAAATAAAAATTAAATCAATTTTGATTTTTTTCGTACTTTTATAAATTAAGAAATTAACTTTTTAACCGTAATATTAGCTAGATTTTTGCCATTTAGATTTTTTATTGCAAAGTGTCTGGTATTTATTTTGATTTCTTTACCCAATTAGTAGGAACAATCGGCACTTTAATATGGAATGAAGTCTAAGTTTTATTATGACACTCGCCAAAAAAAGTTTACTTGGAAAAAATGGCTACAAAAAATAATCTAATTTTTTTATATTTATTTAATTTAACTAAAATCGAAAATATTTTATCTTAAATTGATTACAAAAATATGAATAAAAAATTAATTAAATAAAAAAATTGGTACAAAGTCTATTACTGATGGGGATCTCATCTAATTTGGAACAAATGTTTAAAAGTAAGATTTGCTTCTGCCAATCAAAATTTGATAGGGTTGAATGTTTTAATAGTAGAAAATATTAGGCGCATTAAGTATTTTTCCAAAAAAGCAAAAGACCTAATACTTGAAGAAATATACGACGCCGTATTCCCAGATCATGCATTCATGCCCTTGCATTGTCTCGAGGCAGTAAAACTTTCTTGCCTAGTTTTCACTTTCTTCGGTTTTAGGGTTTAGACTTGGATTTATTTTGTTCGCGACGACGAAACTTGGAGTGCGATAGGCTTCGCCAGCCGACTCGCTTCGGCCTTGCTAGGTAAAACCTCCGATCACGTGAATTCCAAAACCTCCTCTTCTTTTTCGTCAAACCCTAGATTATATGCATTTGTATTTGTGAAACTGCTTTGAAAATTTATATTGTTCATGTTTTGATTGTCTAAGTGTGAAGGTAAATATTGCCCCAACATTCGATAATTCTCAAATTGTAAACAGATGAACCTTGACGGATTTTAGTTCCAAGTTACTGAAATCGAATGCCTTATTTTGTCAATCCTTGTTACGAGTGTACCTAATTTGATATTTGTTTTGTGACTTTGTGAATAATGTTTCTGATTGATGTCAGAATATTTTCTTTCCTGTTGAAGTAAATGCCTTGATTGACTTACCCATAAAAAAAAAAAAAAGTATCTTGGTTGATGATATGGCTGAAATTGAACCTGTCTAGAATTTCAATTGGAAAGACTAAGTTTTTGATGCTGCTAGTTTTTAGGTTTTGAAGGTTGGTTTTTTTTTTCTTTTTGAAATACAGCATTGAAGTCAAGTAATTGATTTGGGTTAATGGGTGGTGATGCTACTACTGCTTCTGTTACATTGATTTGATATTAGAACCTTGTGACAACCTACCTTCCTGATTCAAATTCTTCTTCAACTCTTTATGTGGGAATATTTGACTCTAAGGAGCTAGAGGAGGGAAGACCAATCACTATCTCACTCAATAGAATGTGAGTTTCTGGATATCAGAAAGGATTTGGTAGTTGGTACAAGGATGTTTATCATCATTCTACAAATGGCAAGTAAAAGTCTCGTTGCAAAAGGCATCAAGAACATGGATACCACCATTCTANGTAAATATTGCCCCAACATTCGATAATTCTCAAATTGTAAACAGATGAACCTTGACGGATTTTAGTTCCAAGTTACTGAAATCGAATGCCTTATTTTGTCAATCCTTGTTACGAGTGTACCTAATTTGATATTTGTTTTGTGACTTTGTGAATAATGTTTCTGATTGATGTCAGAATATTTTCTTTCCTGTTGAAGTAAATGCCTTGATTGACTTACCCATAAAAAAAAAAAAGTATCTTGGTTGATGATATGGCTGAAATTGAACCTGTCTAGAATTTCAATTGGAAAGACTAAGTTTTTGATGCTGCTAATTTTTAGGTTTTGAAGGTTGGTTTTTTTTTCTTTTTGAAATACAGCATTGAAGTCAAGTAATTGATTTGGGTTAATGGGTGGTGATGCTACTACTGCTTCTGTTACATTGATTTGATATTAGAACCTTGTGACAACCTACCTTCCTGATTCAAATTCTTCTTCAAGTCTTTATGTGGGAATATTTGACTCTAAGGAGCTAGAGGAGGGAAGACCAATCACTATCTCACTCAATAGAATGTGAGTTTCTGGATATCAGAAAGGATTTGGTAGTTGGTACAAGGATGTTTATCATCATTCTACAAGTGGCAAGTAAAAGTCTCGTTGCAAAAGGCATCAAGAACATGGATACCGCCATTCTGGGATTACAGATATCCCTACCGTCCCACGAACCGGGGTCACATGACCCGAGATGGGGTGGGTTTGCTATCTAAATCGTCTAAATTCTCGACTCTAAATTTTAACTCAAACCGTAAAATAAGCACTAGTTAATTGTGTGTATGTGAATTTATAATATATATAATCTCCTAAAATATAGAACACAATCCTACAGAAAGTGAACCACGACCCAAAATAGCGTACCAAGTAAGTCTAACCCCTTACATTGCATATCGGAAGATGTATGGTACCGTGTACCCGTACCTATATTACATACNGGGGTGGGTTTGCTATCTAAATCGTCTAAATTCTCGACTCTAAATTTTAACTCAAACTGTAAAATAAGCACTAGTTAATTATGTGTATGTGAATTTATAATATATATAATCTCCTAAAATATAGAACACGATCCTACAGAAAGTGAACCACGACCCAAAACAGCGTACCAAGTAAGTCTAACCCATTACATTGCATATCGGAAGATGTATGGTACCGTGTACCCGTACCTATATTACATAACAAATCAACCCACGATCCAGATAACATTTATAAAAAATGATAATGCAACATAGATNTACCCGTACCTATATTACATAACAAATCAACCCACGATCCAGATAACATTTATAAAAAATGATAATGCAACATAGATGATTTATATGGCACATGCATTGGTGATGTATTAGATACCTTATCCTATACCATAGGTTTGCTTTGAAAATTCTTACTAAGATCTTGACTGAGCACTCTTCTTGCGTACATTTTTTTTGACAAAGCCAAAGGAAAAAGGAGTTGGTGTATTTAGTTAAATAGCTTTCACCATTACTGATTTGATAATTCTAGTCTAGCTGTCTAGGACTCTAGGTTGAAAGAAATTTGGCCCTAGGCAGTGGAATGGTGTGACAAGCCCACATAGTTTGTGATTAGGTTGAGTTTTGAATACGAATCCTTCTTGAAGTTGATGAGTAAAAGGATATCTTAGAGCCTATATCTCGAATGGAGGATCAGATGAAGTTTTCCATTAGGATACAATGTTGACAATTTGGATGTGATCATTTATCTTCAAGAGATGCACTCAAGTCTAATATTATGAAATTGAGTCATGGGGTTTCGGTTTGGTCCTTCGCTCACAAACTTTCTGCACCCACCTTACAAAAGCATTATCAATTTATGCGGTTTTGTAAATTTCATGTAATGGAAAGGTAATCTAAGGCTGTTTGGAGTTTTTTCCACGCATGATCGATTGAAGGGAATGTAAAAGGAGCTGCACCAATTTCATCCCCCCTTTTAAAAGGGGAAAGAAAAAAAAGAAGCAATTTGAAGTGATGTTCTGTTATTTTTCTGCTTATGTTCCCCGGAAGAGTTGAAACAATGTGATTGATTATGTCAGGTGTGATATTTCAACATTTATGATCAAGTGGTAACTATTTATCTCAATTTGAATTTGGATCGAGTGCTTGATTAAATTGAAGATAAATTTGGCTGTAAGTAAAGATCTAGAGTTGTTTACATAATGGAGTCTATTTTTTGATGTTTGGGTGGGCAATTTGGTAACAATGGGATATTGGACCTTTGTTAGGAAAAATCAAAATGTATTTGCAGTATTGCAAGAAAGATGCTAGCAATTGTGATCAAATTGGTGCTGAAAAGACAATTGCCCCCGATATTTATGTAATAAAATCATGGCAGTATTTATAGTGACAGATCATTTTACTTTCATAAATGTTTCAGGTGGCCATAGTGTGACGTCAGTCACAGGGTCTGAATTTATATATATACTATGCCTATTTTTGCTGATTGATGTTTAGAAAGCAAGTCGTCATGCCTTTGCTGTCAAATGCTTTCTCCCTCAAGAGATGTGACTCGGTATAATGTTATATAGAGGGTAGATATCTTGATGATAGGTCTTTAATCTACATTTTGGTTCGTCATAGCTGGGATGTTTGCCATAGCTACAGCTTTCTTTTTATTTTTTTTTTCCATTAACATCTTACTTCAGATGCAGTGCACTTTTTATTTTCACCAATTTCATATCCTGTTATTGTTTTCAAGAATTCGTACCTTTCCGACTTTTACTTCATTTTTCTATTTCAATATGCACTGTTGCCATCCAACAATGCATCAAGCGTTGATATAGTTATGGACTTGTTATGAAATTGGTATTTTGCAATTGAATTTGTGGTAAATACTCCCTTCATACTTGATATTCCCCCAGTGTCATACTTATATATTGCAGGTTGTAATTGGAACTTGAAATGGGAAGCAAAGGTCGACTTCCACCTCCTCACCTACGGCGCCCTCTGCCTGGCTTTGGCATGGTGCATCCCGATCCTTTTGGTCCTGGAATACGTACTCCACCTGGTGCATTCCCTCCTTTTGATATGTTGCCACCACCCGAAGTTATGGAACAGAAGCTTGCTGCACAACATGTGGAGATGCAAAAACTGGCAACAGAAAACCAGAGGCTTGCTGCTACCCATGGAAACTTGAGACAAGAACTTGCTGCTGCACAGCATGAGCTGCAGATGTTACATGCTCACACAGGAGCCGTGAAGTCTGAGAGAGAACAGCAGATGAGAGGCCTTATGGAGAAGATTGCAAAGATTGAATCTGAACTGCAAGCCGCAGAACCCATTAAAATGGAGTTGCAGCAGGCACGAGCGGATGCCCAGTCTTTGATTTTGGCAAGGCAGGAACTCATTTCTAAAGGGCAACAATTGACCCAGGATCATCAAAGGGTGCACTCAGATGTGCAGCAGATTCCTGCTCTGATGTCAGAACTCGAGAGCCTCAGACAAGAGTATCAGCATTGCAGGTGCTTGTTTCCTGTTTTTATGTGTTGTGCAGCACTGATATGAAAAGGGACTTCTAATGTCAACTTTTGTTTCGTCATGATGAATGCCCAATGTAGTGATTGGCACTGGATTTATGGTTTATTTTCATCCTTTAAAAGTGACTCAATAGAAGGTTTTCCTAGGAGGGGTGCTGGTCTTTTAGGAAACACTTAGAGCAGAATTGCATGATGTTAGTAAAGTGGTACTTGATTGAAATATCCTTAGAAACGTAATGCAGAGTTTTCATTGTTTGTAAGTCTTGAAGTTGCTAATCATTGTCAAAGTTCATGTCGTAGATGAAGGATGCCTTGACTTTTGTGATTTGATCTGTGCAGGATTACGTATGATTATGAGAAGAAATTGTACACTGACCATCTTGAATCTCTTCAAGTGATGGAGAAGAATTATATGGCCATGGCCAGAGAGGTGGAAAAACTTCGTGCAGAGTTGGCTAATGCGGCTAACCTTGACAGAAGAACTGGTATCCATTTTATGCCAGTTTCATTGCCTTTTTATTCCGTAGACAATTTTTGTAATTTTTTATAGTTCATATGTTGCAATCTAAATTTAGGTGGGCCTTATGGTGGCACTACTGGATATGATGAGAATGATGCTACTGGGCATCACCCTGTTGGACAAGGTGCCTATGGTGTTTCCCAGGTTTGTGATCTTTTGGACATTGGCTTTGTATAAGTTCTTATTTGGACCACATGGTTACAGTTCTCTGTGTTACCTGGAGTTAAAAGAAACCAAAGAACTTAAGATATCATTAGTTTATTTGCTATATAATGCGAAAATGCTGGAATTCTTTGAAATTTAATTCACTGAAAAGTAAACTACCAAAGAGAGGAATCAAGTTATCTATTCGTGAACAGACTTAACATGAACACTAATGTCTCACCTTGAGTGTTGGGTCTCTAAAGATATCTTACCTGGCCAACATTCTGCACGCNTTCACTGAAAAGTAAACTACCAAAGAGAGGAATCAAGTTATCTATTCGTGAACAGACTTAACATGAACACTAATGTCTCACCTTGAGTGTTGGGTCTCTAAAGATATCTTACCTGGCCAACATTCTGCACGCCATTGATGTAAATAATTAAATTTACAAGGGCTTTTGGATGTTGAAGAGCCTTAAATAGCTCATTCAGCTAGTCATCTCAAACAGTGTGATCCAAACTATTTATTTTTTGTATTCCCTTCTAACATTGATGTATGGGAGTCATCTATTAATCTTTTAATCAGTAAATNCTATTGATGTAAATAATTAAATTTATAAGGGCTTTTGGATGTTGAAGAGCCTTAAATAGCTCATTCAGCTAGTCATCTCAAACAGTGTGATCCAAACTATTTATTTTTTGCATTCCCTTCTAACATTGATGTATGGGAGTCATCTATTAATCTTTTAATCAGTAAATTGCAGCTTTATGGAATTTGCAGTTGAGTTTCTCATTTCATTACCATACAATACAAGGGTTAACAAGTTCATGAGTGCTATAGTTTGGAAACTTAAACAAAATACTTGCATAGGAGTATTTTTTTAAAATAAGTGGCTGAAGTTGATCTATAACTAAATCCAATACTCAAATCGGTTTCTTGATATAGTGCCAAATAATATGTAATACACCGAGGAAAAAAATTGAATTCTGATTTTAGTGGTAATTGAACAAAATTTAGAGTTTGAAGTTTCTTTCACTTGCTATATATTAAGCTAGAAATTCACAATGTATATTTTTTCCTACAAGTAGCTCTTTTAGTCTCTCTTTTTTTTTTTGGTAGAAAATATGCTTACCTGAAATGAAAACCATAGTTGATTTGGTCACTTAGACTTTCCACAGAAACATTAAGCAACTAAAGTATTATCCTTGAAGATGCTTAAAATGGTCCTGTTCATCTTTTAAGTCTTGAAGAGTACAGGGGAATCAGTGATACTATAGAAACTTGTTAAATATATGAATCAGTCCCATTGTTTTCCACAATGCCAGTGTGGTCAATTCGCCCCATTCCAGCACATTTGGATTTAGGATAGGAGATAAAAAGTAGGCAATGAAGTTGGAATCATTTCTGGTCAAATGGTCTATCACAGAAGCAACAAATCTTGAAAGCATAGGGAAGAATTCGGGTTCGTTTTGTTCCATACTTCCATTGGTTTCCTTTGATTCTCTCTAGTGCGCACTGGTGGTCCAGAATGGATGCTGAAGCATCAGTGGTCAAAATACGGTGCAGAATCACACAAGTTTTTCCTTTTTTCGTTTTCAAACTCCTGCTAAGATGACCTTGAAACAAGCCAGAGGGAAGTGCATAAATAACTTCTAATGATGCAATGCAAGTTCAGGACGGGTGGTATGTGTCTGTGCTCCAAAATGGAGCTGTTATTTGCTATGTGACATGATGTTAAAAATGAATGAGGCCGGTTAAAAATTATTGTTTTGTGAACCAAGTCAAGCTACTGGGAATTCCAAATTTCACTTGAATACGAAATTCATGCTTCTTTTTCTTTTTCTTCTCCTGTTTCCTTCTATATCATTATTCAGGATGGTCTAAGCTGATATAGGTTGTATTCTTGTGTTATTCATAACAGGGAAGAGGCCCCCTTCCTGCAGGGGGTAGTGGGGGTGGAGCCGCCGCTACCGCCGCTGCTGCTTTTGGCGGTGCTCCTAATGTTGGAGCTCAATCTGGACTCTCACCNTATTTCTTTTTCAAACTCCTGCTAAGATGACCTTGAAACAAGCCAGAGGGAAGTGCATAAATAACTTCTAATGATGCAATGCAGGTTCAGGACGGATGGTATGTGTCTGTGCTCCAAAAAGGAGCTGTTATTTGCCATGTGACATGATGTTAAAAATGAATGAGGCCGGTTAAAAATTATTGTTTTGTGAACCAAGTCAAGCTGCTGGGAATTCCAAATTTCACTTGAATACGAAATTCATGCTTCTTTTTCTTTTTCTTCTCCTGTTTCCTTCTATATCATTATTCAGGATGGTCTAAGCTGATATAGGTTGTATTCTTGTGTTATTCATAACAGGGAAGAGGCCCCCTTCCTGCAGGGGGTAGTGGGGGTGGAGCCGCCGCTACCGCCGCTGCTGCTTTTGGCGGTGCTCCTAATGTTGGAGCTCAATCTGGACTCTCACCTAACACTGGTTATGATGCACAAAGAGCTGCTGGTGGACCTGGTTATGATATACAGCGAGTAGCTGGTGGACCTAGCTATGATTCGCAGAGAGGAGCCGGTGGACCTGGATATGATGCACAGAAAGGACCTGGATATGATGTGCATAGAGGACCCAGTTACGATATGCAGAGGGGACCCGGCTACGATGTGCAGAGGGCACCTGGCTACGATGCACAGAAGGGACCTGGATATGACGTCCAGACGGTACCTGGCTACGATGCGCAGAGGGGACCCAGCTATGATGTACAGAGAGGATCCAGTTATGACACCCATAAACTTACTGGTTATGATGGACAGAGAGGACCCGTTTATGATGCACAGAGTGGACCTGGATATGAGACACAAAGAGGACCGGGTTATGATCCACAGAGAGGACCCAATTATGATACCTCAAAGGGAACTGGCTATGATGCATCATCCAGAGGTGCTGTTGGACCTCAAGGTCAGGTAGCACCTGCAAACAACGCACTTTATGGATCTGCAACAATGCCTACTCTCGCTGGAAGTGGTTATGAGGCAGCACCACGAGGCGGGAACCCTGTTCGTAGATGAGCTGGAGACGCCGCTCAGTTTATCTTCTTAGATATTTATTGGAGGAGTGCCCGTCGGAATTTGCATCTCTTTCATTTGCTCGTTGGAGATGTTCTACCTGGCATGTTGAATTATGATCAAGGTGTTGACAGAAGTTCTACATTTATGGAGTAATATGGGGATGAAAGTAATTAATTCATGCCATGTTTGGAAGACAATAACAATTTGTAATTGGAAGTGGAAGCTTTTGTCTTTTGCACGGCCTTTTGCATTCTCGTTGGTACTACACTTGATGCATCTATTGTTACATTTGCTGAGGATTTGTATTGGGATATTACTTTCTGTAGCCTGCCCACTCGATTAGTTAAAATTTCCATTGATGAGAAATGGATCAGAAGTCGAATGCCTTGCTTGTTCCCAATTTTCCTTGCCTTAGGATGGGTTGGCAACCCACTAGAGTATGCTTTGTACAATGATTCATACAATCCGAAAATTCCCAGAAAATATATAATTTCACAATTGAAAATGTATAATTCTTCTGGTACTGGTAGTGTGTTAGTCAATATATGGGCATAGAGGGCATTTTTGTAAGTTTAGCAAAATATCAGGAATCAAATTTGAGGGTAATTTGATTTTGAATGGGGTTATTTCCACCTTTTAAATCTTTTTTTTCACCTGATTTAATTTTTTTTTGTTTCAAACTATTTAAGTTCATTCAATCTATACCTACTTATTAGTTATTAAATTCACTCCATCTTTATTTATTAATTAAAAATTAAATTTATTCAATATTATTTCAACCTTCTATATATGTAATAATCAAAAAAAAAATAATTTTGGTACATAAATATTACAAAAATAAGGTGGGATTCAATCCCCGGCTATTGAGCCCCTTTACCGAGAATCAGACAGCCTCTCCTTGGGGCCAAACACTTCATTCCTCTTTTTCTTCATTAATAAAAAATGAATAATTTATTTTTAAAAATATTAGTCAAAATATACTAAAATATTTTTAAACATCTCAAAATATTCCAAAAATATTGGTGAAAATATATCAAAAATTTTCGAAATATTCTAGATCACCTTGGAATATTGAAATTTTGCTTCAATTAATAATTTTGTTTCGATTTCTTTGAAATATATATTTAACAGTTTAATTGGATGAGATAAATGGGATGAATTTAGTCATTAATGAGGTGGATATAGATGAAATAAACTTAGTAGTTTGAAGTAAAATAATTAAATGGAGTGGGAAATGAAATTTAAAAGATGGAAATAACCCCACCATTTGATTTTTCAGGAATTCAGTTGCTTCTTCCTATAAGGTCTTATTGATAGGGTGAGATTCGAAACTGAGTTTGATGCCAAAATATACATTTTCATTCAATCAAAACAAGAAAAAACCCCTGTTTTTTACAGAGTAAAATCACCTTATTTCTATCCTAATCTCTTTGAGTATGATTTGCATAACTTGCTTTGGAGTTGATGTAATCCAATAGGGGCGGAAGAGTGCCTACTGCCTAGTTTGAATTGCATAACCAGTGTGTGTGCTACTGAATTACAGGATCTATTTATAAATCTGTATCTAACATTGGATAATTGCATTGCATATTATCATATATCCTGTTGGTGCCTAATAACCTTCATCCTCTTCTAGTCTACAGGCTCTTCTCATTGGGCATGCTTCAACGACTAATGGTGAGGATACAATAATCCCTATAGAAGCTCCATTAATCAATCGTCCCTCGTGGTTGTGTCCCATTATTATATATGATACATTCCTATTCTCCCTAGAATAGGCTTTATCGTAATTAATCTTGGCCCAGCCCCTCAATGGGAGAGTCTATGAAGTATCGGATTCAATTATAAATATAATATTGTCTTTTTCTGCACTTAATTGAGTTACAAGCATTTTTTTTTAACACGGAGATTAAATTATAATTTAATTAAAATAAATTATGATTAAAAAAGTCAGAATTAATCTCAAAAATATTAAGACTGCTCTATAATAATCTATTCTTATTAGATTAAATTATAAATTCTTCTTTATTTTTAAAAATTTTTGGTATAGTATCCAAAAAGAAGAGGGTTAGTATTATATTTCATACTCAAGGACCTCCTGTTGATTGACAAACATCAGGGGCTTGGTTGTAAATACACCCTTAAGAAATTGTTATTTTGACCCGACCCGTGCGCATGTAAAGTGTAAAGCCCTGGCCCCTGAGCCACTGTCAATCAGCAACAATTCAAAATTTTCACTTTCCCGGCATAGGTCTGTACACACAGCTTTCATGGAAGACGATTCGCTACGACAGCAATGCAAAGGTCAACTCTCTCTCTCTCTCTGTGTATATATATAAATATATATATATGTGTATGTGTGTGTGTGTGGGCGTTTAATACAGACAGATTTTTTTTTCAGCGAATGCACTCAAATGAATCGATAATAATCTATATTTGGGTTTCCCTAATTGAAAAGCTAATAATCTTTTGAACGTACAGGGGCCGGACGTTTCTCCCTCAAAGGCATGGAATCGGTTGTAGCCACAGTCAGTGGATACCACGGATCCGAGCGGTTCAAGCTCATCAAACTGATATCTCATACTGGCGCAAGCTATGTCGGTGCTATGAATCAATCCACGACACATTTGGTGTGTTTTTGGTAATCCGAAGTCGTTTGTTTGTTTGGAGGTTGTTGATTTTATATTTATCTTTTATTGAGTGAGTGATGTTTCGAATTGATTAATGATTAGGTTTGTTGGAAATTTAACGGGAGGAAATACGAGCTTGCGAGGAAGTTCAAGATGGTTATAGTTAACCATCGATGGGTTGAAGATTGTATAAAAGAAGGAAGACGTGTACCAGAGTATCCATATCTTTCCCGATGGTATGATGAATTGGAAATATGGATATTTGTTTACAGGCTTTCATGTACAAGCATGCTGATTTTCTTAGTGTAAGACTTTGTGGTTGGTGAGATCTATGTGTAGTTTCAATTAGAAGAAATTAATTAATGAATAACAATACATCTCGGAGACCTGGCCTTTATCTGGTCGCACAAACGCAATTTAGCTTTGTAAGATAAGGTGTGAACATCTGTGATGGGTTGAATATGTATATCTTTTTGTTGGGTTAATAACAGCTTGGTAAATTCTGTGTGATTGGTTGTGTAGTTTTTTGAATTTTGATTCTTTTGCAGCGGGCAGGAAGTTGGGCCCTTACTGTTGGATATTCCACTTGTTGCTGCTAAAGCAAGGCTTTTGCATCGGCAATCCAATGTATGCGTCAAGTTTAAAGAACCTGTGATAGACATTGACTATGAAGAGATTGACCATGCTGATTGGATAGATTCTAGTTTGTTAAATAAGGTAACAACCAAATTTCTTAGAAATAAATGTGAAGAGATACTTCTCTTTCCCCATATATTTTTTTGAAGCTGATTTGATGCCGAAGGATGGGAAATGGGAATTGTTTTCTGGCTTCGTTTAGATGGGTTCCCATTTTTCTTGTTACTTTTTCTTATGTTACCATCTGTCCCCCCCTGGAGGTGTTGTCGTAGCAAAAGCGTGGAATGAAAGGCTTCTTTGTGTTGAGTGCTTTTTTGCCTAATAAAATGCTGGCTCTCTGTCCGGCAAAGTTGGGTGTTATCTTCTCCATCCTAGTTTATTGGGTCATCTATGCATATATCAAAACTGATATACTCCAGTGAGGCATGGGNCAGGAGGTGTTGTCGTAGCAAAAGTGTGGAATGAAAGGCTTCTTTGTGTTGAGTGCTTTTTTGCCTACTAAAATGCTGGCTCTCTGTCCGGCAATGTTGGGTGTTATCTTCTCCATCCTAGTTTATTGGGTCATCTATGCATATATCAAAACTGATATACTCCAGTGAGGCATGGGAATTTCATACCTTTTGGATTAGCCGCAATTTTTTGTGCTTGTAGAGGTAGATGCCTTGTGGGTTAGTAATTTCATTACATTATGCGGGATGTGCTAAGTCAAAGATGTTGATATTGTGTGATGAATTGCATCCAACTATTTCTAAGTTTTGAATTNTATGGGTTAGTCATTTCATTACATTATGCGGGATGTGCTAAGCCAAAGATGTTGATATTGTGTGATGAATTGCATCCAACTATTTCTAAGTTTTGAATTATGGATGGGCAAGGAACAGCACTTGGTGAGGTTTAGATTTTCGATTTAGAGCTGATGTTGTTTCCAAATTCCTGGAAATACCTCCATCTCTTATTCTTTTGCATTGATTCAAGAAATAGGTTCGAAAGCATAAAGTACTGTGGTCACCTTGAAAATTTATAGATTCAACAGTGGAAACGTTCTATTGGATATTGGTGTACAGGGAACAGAAGAACCATGAAACTTTTTAGATACATCTTTTGCCAGGTTCTGTTGTCTATGTGTATAGTAGGGAGAAGTACTACATGACAACTCTTTTGTGGCCTCTATTGTGTGATTTACTGAAGTGGACTGTAACTTTTGGCAGATAGACTAGAGGCCACAAGGACCATCATAGAGATATGCTGTTGGCTTTTCTCTCTGTTCAAGTTTAGAGTGTAAAAGTCACCTTTTGTATTGGACTAGGCTATGTCTAAGTTTTTTGTGCTTATTGATGATATGACCCTTACTCAGCTGTTCTCCTGAAAAAAGTCATCAGTGGTCTAGTGGGACGTTCCAAACTTTGTGTAATAAAGGTTGGGCAAACACCTTTGCTGGATAACATAATAATAATGTCTTAAGTGGTTATTGGTAGGCCTAATTGTGTTGAGCACCCACTGCATGTTGATCTTATGTGAGCTACACCTGCTGAACAAAATGCATTGCGATTTTCTTTTCTGTGGATGCCCAGAGTATGACCTGGGAGGGGAAGAGAAAAACTTTTTTCTCCAGCGAGCTTTCTCTCATAAATCCAAAGAATCCAAAGAGGCCATAGACCCATTCCAATTGGATCTTTTTCACATGCTACTTAGGGCCTAGGATATAAATCTACAATGTTTCAGAAGTTTCTTCATCTTGCAGCTCATTGTGCTACTGTTTTCCAACTGGAGTTCAGCTATTGGATTACAGGGAATTTCAGTTATCAATAAGTTATGCATCCTTGAAATTCTTTTGTTATCTCATTTTCTAAAAGGCACATACATGCTTTAAGTTAAAGAAAGACTTCATTAGCTTGAAGCCCTATTGGTCCTTTTCATCGAAACAATTTCTGGGGTTTGGATGTTTTATTTGTTGTGACCAAAAAAACCCTAGAAAATATTTGCCACTTGTTTTCTGCTGTGGTCTATTTGTTTCTATTTTTTTAGACTAATGTTTCCCTAGCTCATCCATTTCTTCCCTGATGTCCTATGGCTGTGTTAATGTTTGTTCTTTGAGTTCATTTTTACAGTTTGCAAAAAGCTCCACCGTCCCCCCTCTTAAGAAATTTTGCATATTCAGTATTTGGTTCTGTCAGGGCCTATGCTGCATTTAACATTTCTTGTTGCAATTGAAAATTTTTCCTGTCCTTTCCTGTTAAATTGTCTGAAGAATTTCTTCCTCTACATGTTTGATGGGACAGAAGAGGAGCATCACTCCTTCAGCTGAACCTTCTCGCAAAAGCCGTAGGCTGGTGAAAAGGAGCACAACTAGGGATATTTTGAAGTCTTTTTCAGATTCTGAGCAAGAGTGCCACCCAAAACCATTTCGTCACCAGCAGAATGAGATTGAAGCTCCATCTGAGAATTCTGATGGTGGGAGGAATGAAAGTATATCGAGGGTCAGGGAAGAGTCTGATAGTAGGTGTTATAATCACGAGGCAAACAGAATAGAGGGAATGGGAGTGGTTGAAGAGTTTACAAATTTGAATGGCATTCTTGCTTTCGAAGATTCAAGTTTAGGTATTGCGGGTTCTTTGTCTTCCCTGGTTAGAACTCCAGAAGAACATTGTTCCATTGTCGATGACGACATAAATGACATCGGACATATTACTAGATTGTCTACATCGACAGAGTTATCATGTGTTATATGCTGGACAGATTTCAGTTCAACTAGGGGGGTTCTACCATGTGGGCATCGATTTTGTTTTTCGTGCATCCAAAGCTGGGCTGATCATATGGTATATTTCTGTCTTTGTATTTTATATTTTCCCATCTTTCTGCTCACTGAAGCTTCATATTATTGGCAAAAGAATGCATGGTATTTATCTTCAGGTATCTTATTATGCGAGTCAACATTTTTATCAGCAACTTGTTTGTCGGAATTAGTGTATCCTAAAAAACCTTATGCTTTTAACTGTGACGGCCATTGTTTTATCACCCATGATTAGGGGTTGTGAACACTTTAATTCTATCTGCACATGATGAGCACTCCCTTAATTTAGAATCAACATTTTCATAGATATATATGCACCATCAGCTTTAATGATATGAAATGCAGAGCAGAGGACATATCAATTTCCTGTTAATTTTAAATATGTTAAAATGTAATTTGACTTCTGAGTTTGCTAAGAGGACAATGCTCGATAGCGGACATTCAGATTGAAATCAGTGANAACTTTAATGATATGAAATGTAGAGCAGAGGACATATCAATTTCCTGTTAATTTTAAATATGTTAAAAAGTAATTTGACTTCTGAGTTTGCTAAGAGGACAATGCTCGATAGCGGACATTCAGATTGAAATCAGTGATAGATTACAATCTTTTGCTGTGACTGCGTTTTCAGCTTACATTTGAAATTCGAATTCAGAAAACTTCTAGATCATGAAGGTAAAGGTACAATGGAAGGAAGTTTGTTAATTTAAAGCTATGTGGCAAGGTGAAGGAATTGACCTTTTTGTTTTTTTCATATAACTACAGAAACCACCTCTAGTAAACATTCATGACTTGAGTTGTTTCAAGGTATTGTTTGAATGAAAAGAAGCATGCCTTTAAATTGGTACTCATCACCCTACGTAAACAGCAATATAACAGAACGGAATGTTTTTGCATCCTTTGTTTTTATTTCATCGACTTGTATAGTACACCATTGAACAACACAACCTCAAACATTCTGGGTTTACTACGACAGCAAAAACAAATTTAGGTGTCAGAACGGATATAATTTTGATTCTGCTGTGGAATACCTAATTCTCATAATTGAATTGATGTTTGATAAAGTGTGGTATAGGTCTCTAACATTTGCTACCCTTCTCCATTTTTGAAGTGTTGCATGTGTAATCATAAGTAAGTTGTTTATGTTTTTTGCAGGCTTCAAGGCGAAAGATTTCGACATGTCCATTGTGCAAGGCCAGTTTTGCGAGAATTACAAAGGTTGATGATGCAGTCTCTTCTGATCAAAAAATANCGGAATGTTTTTGCATCCTTTGTTTTTATTTCATCGACTTGTATAGTACACCAGTGAACAACACAACCTCAAACATTCTGGGTTTACTACGACAGCAAAAACAAATTTAGGTGTCAGAACGGATATAATTTTGGCTATGATTTTGATTCTGCTGTGGAATACCTAATTCTCATAATTGAATTGATGTTTGATAAAGTGTGGTATAGGTCTCTAACATTTGCTACCCTTCTCCATTTTTGAAGTGTTGCATGTGTAATCATAAGTAAGTTTATGTTTTTTACAGGCTTCAAGGCGAAAGATTTCGACATGTCCATTGTGCAAGGCCAGTTTTGCGAGAATTACAAAGGTTGATGATGCAGTCTCTTCTGATCAAAAAATATATTCGCAAACTATTCCGCATGACTCATTAAACATTGATGTATACCTTCTTCCCAATGGGGAATCCACTCTTGGTCCACAGGTATGTTTACATGCTGATTAAGTTACTTCAGGTATATTGTTGACATTACTTTTGAAAAAACCTGTCCATTTGTCCAGTGGAAAGTATCTGTTGTTTTGGTGGTTCACATTACTAACTCTACTTTGTTTCATCTTTTGGGGGTATTATANTACTTCAGGTATATTGTTGACATTATTTTTGAAAAAACCTGTCCATTTGTCCCGTGGAAAGTATCTGTTGTTTTGGTGGTTCACATTACTAACTCTACTTTGTTTCATCTTTTGGGGGTATTATAGCAATCATTAGCACCAGTCTGCTGTCAGTGCTCTTGTCGGGAGCCTCAGGATCTTCTCATTAGATGCCATCTCTGCCAGAGTCGATGTGTTCATTCCTACTGCTTGGATCCTCCATTGTTTCCATGGATATGTGCTCATTGCAAGGATCTCCAAGTGCTTTACCATCATGTCCGCTGGTTTTAACTGACTAAATTATTCTTACTGGTATGTTAGCAATCTTAATTATTCGCTTGCATAGCATTCCTGTTCAAATAAAATGCTGATTGTATGGATTTGATCCATTTGACTCTCATATAAACTGAGCTTGATATTGTCTTTTCACCTTGATCATTTTGGGAAAGTGACCACTACAATTTTAGCCAGTATGTTTTGATCTTGTTTGTTCTCTCTCATTTAATCCAATGTTTAGAACCTTTGTATCACCGCTCTCCATAATTACTTTTCCGTGTTGGTTAAGTGGGTCCATTTTGTTATTTGTTAAATTTTCCATTAGTTAGGAACATGNTTGCTTCAGGTATATTGTTGACATTACTTTTGAAAAAACCTGTCCATTTGTCCAGTGGAAAGTATCTGTTGTTTTGGTGGTTCACATTACTAACTCTACTTTGTTTCATCTTTTGGGGGTATTATAGCAATCATTAGCACCAGTCTGCTGTCAGTGCTCTTGTCGGGAGCCTCAGGATCTTCTCATTAGATGCCATCTCTGCCAGAGTCGATGTGTTCATTCCTACTGCTTGGATCCTCCATTGTTTCCATGGATATGTGCTCATTGCAAGGATCTCCAAGTGCTTTACCATCATGTCCGCTGGTTTTAACTGACTAAATTATTCTTACTGGTATGTTAGCAATCTTAATTATTCGCTTGCATAGCATTCCTGTTCAAATAAAATGCTGATTGTATGGATTTGATCCATTTGACTCTCATATAAACTGAGCTTGATATTGTCTTTTCACCTTGATCATTTTGGGAAAGTGACCACTACAATTTTAGCCAGTATGTTTTGATCTTGTTTGTTCTCTCTCATTTAATCCAATGTTTAGAACCTTTGTATCACCGCTCTCCATAATTACTTTTCCGTGTTGGTTAAGTGGGTCCATTTTGTTATTTGTTAAATTTTCCATTAGTTAGGAACATGGGAGATTTTTTTAGTTCATCCAATGATCGGTTTATGAAACAAGGAGTTAAGCAAGAGCTAGGAGATTGATGAAACAACCTGGCCNAACTTGATATTGTCTTTTCACCTTGATCATTTTGGGAAAGTGACCACTACAATTTTAGCCAGTGTGTTTTGATCTTGTTTGTTCTCTCTCATTTAATCCAATGTTTAGAACCTTTGTATCACCGCTCTCCATAATTACTTTTCCGTGTTGGTTAAGTGGGTCCATTTTGTTATTTGTTAAATTTTCCATTAGTTAGGAACATGGGAGATTTTTTAAGCTTTGGTCCGTCCATCCAATGATCGGTTTATGAAACAAGGAGTTAAGCAAGAGCTAGGAGATTGATGAAACAACCTGGCCGAAGTCAGTGTTGTGTTCAACTCCACAGTTGAAAGGCCTTTTTTGCTGTCGTCTATCTTTTCTTTCTCTTTCTTCTCTTAGCAAAGTAGGCTCAAATCACACACTTTTTGGCTTGCTACAAGTTGGGCTTAGGATCTGTAGCCAGCCGCTTCCCCTGATACTCACAATCAATTCAATGACAGTGATTGATTAGGTCAGTATTTTAAATCAAGATTGTATTGCTCCTGTCAAAATTCGCAAGTAAATCTATGCTTTAGCATGTGTGGGAATGGTAATAAGCAAGTCCATGTTGTATTCTGACCAAGCCCAGTAAGACCCATTTTAATTTATGTATTGATAAATATAACAATAATATAGCAATTTGTTTTACCGATAAGTACANCTATGTTATATTCTGACCAAGCCCAGTAAGACCCATTTTAATTTATGTATTGATAAATATAACAATAATATAGCAATTTGTTTTACCAACAAGTACATGCGCGAATTTATTAGGTCATTAAGGACACCTGACATGTAATATTTAGTCAGCAGATCCAATATATCTTTCTTTTTTATTTTTTTATTTTGACCTTGAGTTGGAAACGCAAATTTTATTGCTAAAATNCCATGTTGTATTCTGACCAAGCCCAGTAAGACCCATTTTAATTTATGTATTGATAAATATAACAATAATATAGCAATTTGTTTTACCGATAAGTACATGCGCGAATTTATTACGTCATTAAGGACACCTGACATGTAATATTTAGTAAGCAGATCCAATATATCTTTTGTTTTTTATTTTTTTATTTTGACCTTGAGTTGGAAACGCAAATTTTATTGCTAAAATTGTGTCTGATTCATTGAATACTGGCTAAAAGGCTATCTAAAATAGATAATTCTATTTTTACTCCATAAATGTAGTTAGCCAGTAAATCGCTTGTTGGCGCCAATCTCTCCCTCCTCGCCTCCGCCTCCTTTTGATTGTATGCACTTGTCTCATCTTATAACTGTTGTAAATATGACTGTTCAAAAATTTAAATTTTAAAATTTTAAATTTTGTGACCGTTATAAATATGATCATTATTAATAAAAATTTAAAATTTAAAATTTTGATGACGTGGCGTAACACATTAGNTTAAAAATTCAAATTTTAAAATTTTAAATTTCGTGACCGTTATAAATATGACCATTATTAATAAAAATTTAAAATTTAAAATTTTGATGACGTGGCGTAACACATTAGTATGTGATTTTATCAATATGGTGATGACATAATATACTAAATAGTATTTTAGATTTTATTATTGAAAGTTAATTGAAATGATTAATTAAAATAGATAACGTTGTTGGAGTGAGTTTGAAAAAATAATTAATTAAAATAAATAATATAATATTTAAATATATTTTGAATATCTATTTTAAATAACTCTTTTTGAGATGTTTTTAATGGCGTGCATTTGTGGCTGTGGGGGTGGGTGTGTCAGTGGCGCGTGTGTGTGTTTGTGGATGTGGTCCAGCCTTTGAGAGAAGTGTGGTGGGCGGGCGGGAAAAGGAATTGGATTGGGTGTTTGTGGAACGTTGGATCAATTTTGAGTTCATGTGGATTAATCTAAGCTGTCCTTATACTTTTTCAAACGAATTAAAAGTAAATTAAATTTTAAAATAAAAATAAATTTAAAATTGGTTCTATTTTATTAGTATAGATGCTTATCTTTAATGACCCAATAAGTTGGTGTACAGGCATATTGACTCAAAGCATTAAAACATTGTACCGGCCATCGAAAACCCCATCATTAAATACACATTAAGGAAGTCCTATTGAAAGATAAATACACATTATGTGACACCGGACTTACTCAACTTAGGTGAGTAGAGTAGAGAGTGAATTCAAACTGGACCAAATTGAAAGTTACATAACCAATTTATAAGTGAAGAAAATAGGAGTAAAAAGATTAAAAAAGGAAGAAGCGTAGCTGAACTTATAAAAATTTCTCATAAATGCCAACACTAATTACGATTAAAATTACACTTGTGTCGTGTGTATTGCAAATGGATGCAATTTTAAGTGTGTATAGTTATATTTATGTTGTNGATACATAACCAATTTTTAAGTGAAGAAAATAGGAGGAAAAAGATTAAAAAAGGAAGAAGCGTAGCTGAACTTATAAAAATTTCTCATAAATGCCAACACTAATTACGATTAAAATTACACTTGTGTCGTGTGTATTGCAAATGGATGCAATTTTAAGTGTGTATAGTTATATTTATGTTGTATTTAAGTCGTACATGGTCCTACAATTTGAATTTTTATTGTGTATAGTAAATTTGAGTCCATCCTTTAGTTAAGTGGGACCGGGTCTAGTAAGACAATTTAGTAGTTATAACTTGATTGACACACCTAATAACATTGTATTGATTTGGTACNGCAATTTTAAGTGTGTATAGTTATATTTATGTTGTATTTAAGTCGTAGGTCCTACAATTTGAATTTTTATTGTGTATTGTAAATTTGAGTCCATCCTTTAGTTAAGTGGGACCGGGTCTAGTAAGACAATTTAGTAGTTATAACTTGATTGACACACCTAATAACATTGTATTGATTTGGTACTGAGTGTGTTAAGAATTGTAGCCCAACTTGACATTATTTTTTTCAGTTATATTACATATGCGTAAAGATTCATAGCACCTTTATTAGGTAGAAGTAACTGATTTCCATGTCCAAAAGCAGGTTCATTAGGTGAAGCTGCTTAGATGTACATCAAATTTTAAAACTAACTCGTGAACTAAAATATGCAATGAATATATTTTTTGGACCTTCTTTTCTTGGTATTGCTGCGAGAGAGGTTCCGGACTAGTTTACGTGCACCTTAAATAATTTTTTCTCCGGTTCAGTCAAAGACATACCAACTACATCTGGATTAGAGAATTCACGAGCGATAAATTCTTCGTGGTTTGACTCAAAGGAGTTGTCTTTGCTTGACTACCCATGGGATTTGATTTTGTGGACTTCATTTTGTAAAGTAAAGTAATTCTATTTTACCTCAGTGTCAAGATACTCATGCCAAATAACATCCACATCGTCTCCAACTTTAAGCTCTCTGATCAGCCTCATACTGCTTCACCTTTTTTACCTTTCCATCCCAAACACCCAAGTTGTTGTCCCTTTTTTTTTTTTTTTGGTGTGTTCCTCTTGTCTTTTTCTGTTTTTCCTGACTCATCATATTCAAATCCAAAGTATCAGGTCCGACCAATCCTTATAATGGAAAGATGACCACATTGAAGCCACTTTGAATGCATTATATGACCCTTCTTGTATGTAGCTTTTTATTTGTGAAGAAAATAGAACTCGGTCAATATAACAAATTAGATAGATTGTGTGGATGGATTATTACTTTATTAGGTTGGTAATAATCGATTAAACATGGAAAAATTTCAATCACATCCTTTCTAGTTTATCATATCTTTAAGGACACCCACTCTCTTATAAAAATAATCACTGACACCCCTCTTAGTTTATATTTAAACATCATTG